GGTCCCCTAGAGCTTTGGGGGTAGTGATGTACCTGGTTTCTACTCTGGCTCTGGAAATTGGAGGTCATTGAAGAATGATGACCCTAGAATGCTATCATCTCAGAGAGTTCTTGGGTACCTCTTGGAGGTGTTTCTGGAAGGAAAATGGGGGACTCCTGAAGGGACCAGGCTGTGGGAGAAGGTGAACGATTCATCAGGGGAGGCGGGACCTGGGGCCTATGGCATGCAGCAGGGTAGAGAGCCAGAGGGAGAAGAATCTGTTCCAGACCACTAACTGGACTCCAGGGCAGTTCCGTGCCCCCAATGTTGTTTCTGGGTAGATCCTTATGGCTGGGGCAGGCTTGGTAGGACTCAGAGTTGGCCCAGGTGTAAGAACCCATCACCTCAGTCACACAGAATCAGTACTTCACAGACATCAAGTCAACCGGGACCCATCCAGCAAACCAGGCTTGGCATCATCTGTGCAACATGCCAGGTCGGGTGAGGGGTTCCTAGGGCTGTGGTACCCCTACATCTCAGTTTTCTCTCACCCCAACAGTGGATGGTCTACTTTTAGGAAGGCTCTAGGGTCTTCCCAAAATTTCCTCCTGGCTGCCTGTTTGTTCTCAGGTGTTCCCTGGAGCAGACTATGCCAGACCCTGCAGCCAAGACTGCTTGGATTGAGGACTCCAGTTTCTTGCCATACACTTGCCTACGTCATCACCAGTTATTCATGGAAAGCTAGTCCTCAGGTCCGTTTTCTTGGTCCCAAGCCAGGTGTGGGAACCATAGCTGGTTGCACCCCAACTGTCCTGAGAGTAGGTTTCCTTGGAGGTGACAGGCCATGGTGACAACCTCCAGTCTGTCTCTGAAGAGAGGAAACTGAGCCCCAGGACCCAGAAAGTGGGCGTCTAGGGGAGGGGGTGACAGAAAGAGGGAGGGTCATTGGGGGCCCAAGGTGGGGGCTGGCCACACCCTTTCCAGTACTTCAAAGCTACTGAGTGTGAGATTTGCAAGGGGATGGCCAAGCTTGTCCTGGCTGGGTGGGGCCCCCAGCCTCCGGCCCTTTTATATGGTTATTCGGGTGCTGTCTCAACTACCTGTGAACAGGCCCCCAGCTCATTTCCTCCTTCTCTGGGGCAGCGGGAGGGGCTGTAAATTCACCAGAGAGGCAGCTTCTGAGGCCCACAGCTGCAAGCTGAGTGGGGCCTAGGGCTTCCCATCCCTAAAACAGGGGGTTGCAGTTCATCCCACTTCCTTCTGCAAGGAGGGAAACTGAGACCCAGAGAGAAGTGGAGCTAGCTCGTGCCAGGCAGTGAGTGTAGGGTTTCACCTCCTAGCTCCCCATGGCTAGGCCATTGTCTGGGGTCTGTTTCATGTTCCCATGGGCTGTGGATGCTCCATTCATGGACTCTCTCCCCTTCTTCTTACACTAATCCAGAAGGACCACAGCCTAGTGTGTCTCCTCTGGACAGCTAAGACCATCGTCATGGTAGTCTCTCATACTGGGCCTGTGGGGGCTGCTGTTCAGAAACTTGCACCCAGACACCAGAGCCCTCCTGGATCCCTGGCATGCCCTTGGGCCAATGCGGCTTCCTCTCTAGACCTAGGTACTCCAAGCTTCCCAGACTTATATCTTGAGGTATGTGGGCTCTTTCACCTTCTAAAGTAGCCTGTCTTCTGCCTGAGCATAAGGCAGGGGGGCTCTGTATCCCCAAAATCTGTGTAACACCTGGACCCCGCCAGGGTCTTGAGACAACCTGTCCTCCCAATACCCATTGGACCCTGACTTCTCAGGCCTCCATGACTTGTTGGTTGTGCCACTGTCCTGCCGCCTCCCAGTCGAGTCTGTCCCTTTCATCTGGGCACTGGGGCAGCAGGTACCAATTAGGGTGGCTCCTGCCCAGGGTGCCAACCAGAGGAGCTACTCATCTGTCGGACAGGCTTAACTGAGGACTCTCATCACTGCCCTAGGGACTAATGGCTTTATTATTGTTAGCATCCAGAATGGTCCAGCAGGCTAAGTGAACTCTTCCGGAACCTGCCCCCTAACCCACTAGTGACTCACTCACCTGAGGGGAGACTGGGCGCCTGTTCTTCTGTCTTGGCTGGCCCCGAACAGGGCATCCTCTTTGTAGAGTGTTCACTTGCAGCCGACTGGCCCCACTGACCCTTGCCCTTCTGGGAATTCCTAAGTAGTCCTACCAATAGTAGGTCAGGGCCTGACGTACACCTGCAGCCCTGAGTGGGTGGCCTGCCTGGAATGCACCAGCAGAGGCACAGCAAGCCCTGAGGCTGAGGAGAGGGAGCTATGTGTAGGGTGCCTACCTGCTAAGACGCAGGGAACCAGAAGGCTAAGGAAGGGGCACGGAGAGTTCAGAATCCGGGCCTACACTCTGCTCCTCCAGAAGCCCTGAACAGACCTGGCTAGTTCTCCAGGGCTAGAGAGCTCCAGCTCAGCCCTCCTTCCCCAAGGCCACTCAGCTGTCAGTGTCCCTCACAGCCTATGATTGTTTTCCAGTGCTGTGGTAGAGTTCAGAGCCCCCCTCACACGGGTTAGGAAAGCATTCTGTCACTGAGGTACATCCTAGCCCTTCAGTTGAGACAGGGTCTTACTAAATTACTTTAGCTGATCTTGACCTTGTTCTGTATTCCAAACAGTCCCGAATTTGTGATTGTCCTGCCTTAGCTTCTGTGGCAGCTGGGATTATAGGTCTATATCGTCAGGTCAGGCTAGCTATTCTTTTCGTAGCCTACTGGGACTCTGGATACCTTGGTGTTTAGGTATGACAATGTGACAGGGTGCGGGGACAACGACTGTATATTCAGGGTGGTGGACTAAATTGTCTCAGGTCATGGATCAGCAGCCTACAGGTTGAATCTGGGCCCTGGAAGGGATGAGTGCACAGAGTAGCACAAGGCTTAGCTAGCAGGTTAGGTGGACAGAAGATATACCTGGGGCATGCAGCAGGAGCCATGTACAGACCAGGGACATGTTTTTATGCCCAAGACATGTGGGCTCCTTCCTGGTACACTTTTTTAAGGATACAAGGAAGTCTAGTGGGGTCTTAGTACTGCTTGTCACTGCTTTGAAGGTTTAAGGACCTCCTTAAGTGGCCCTGCCACAAAGCCAGTGGCAGATTACTCTGATGAATGGCATTCAGAGTTTAGTTTCAGCCAGTGTGACAAAATGTTGGGTTACCAGGGCTATGGGTAAGTTCATGTGACATATGGACAGCAGCCTTGGCTTTTAGCAGTCAGCATGGACTAATCTCACAGATTTGCCTATGATGCTGGGTCAAATGGGTCCGAAAGGCCCTGCCTGTGTCTCCCCTCACCTCACTGCCTCTCTTCTTGGGTCTTTTGTTGTTGTTGTTGTTGTTTTCTTTTTTTTTTTTATTTTTTGGGGGGCGGGCAGGGTTTCTCTGTGTAACCACCCTGGCTGTCCTGGAATTCACTTTGTAGGTCAGGCTGGCTTTGAACTCACAGAAATCCACCTGCCTCTGCCTCCTGTGTGCTGGGATTAAAGGCATGCACTGCAGCACACAGCCAACTCAGGTTTTTGAGAGGTCGAACCTGCTGTTCAACTTCCGCAGGACATTTATTGCTCTGGTTATCTGGACATTAGGGCAGGACCCGGAGGTGGGGACAGCATAGGGATGGTCATGGGAGGGGCAGAGAAAGGAGCAGAGATATGGTAGGGCTTGCTTAGGCAGAGTTGTGGTCTTGAGAGAAGTATGGCTTTGAGAGAGACCTCTAGCTCACTTCCATGGTGCCCTAAATCCCACCCCTAACCACTCAAGTCACCGATACGATGATTAACCTTATGTGGCTTGGCTGAGGCCTTGGGCCCCTTGTGAAGGCAAATGGGAGTATGGCTGCTCCTGGACAAAGACCACCCCCACCCAGAGCTTCCTTTGGGTGGGAATCTGAGACATCTCTGGTGTCCAGCCCCATCTAAGGACTGTAGTGTTCTTCTAGGATCCAGTTGACGCTACACTTAAAGGCCACCAACAGCTAGTTAGACCACTCTCCTCACATCCCAAGGGCTGCCATACCCTAAACACAGTGATCTTGGGATATCAGCTGTGTGACAATGGATTCATGGGGAGATTTTATTCCATGTTTCTCCTGCATCACCAATGTGTGAGGCAGTCTTGGGCAAGCTTCTTCTCTTGTGACCCAGGCTCCTCATCTGTTCACTGGGGTTACCAAAGTTTCCTAATTACTGTCTGGCTCCCCAGCTCCCTTACTTTCTTAAAACCCCACCCGCACTCTCTATCCAAGCTCTCAAATCTGCTCTATACCAGATTTTTGCTGCAATTGACTAGTTCATTTCCTGACTTAGCTATTTCTATTCTTTCTTCTTGGAATTCTGGGCCCAAAGACTTCTCTGGAGGTTGATGGTCTCTGCTTGGTTCTGAGACCCAATCCTGACACGGGATTTCCCTCTGTATGCTGTGATTATCACTAATGAATAAAGAAACTGCTTTGGACCTATAGCAGGGCAGAATTTATCTAGGTGGGGAAAACCAAACAGAATGTTGGGAGAAAGGAGGCAGAGTCGGAGAGAAGCCATGGAGCCGCAGCTGGAGACAGATGTGCTGAAACTTTGCTGGTAGGCCATGACCTAATGGTGATGCAAAGATTAATGGAGATGGGTTAAATTAAGATGTAAGAATTAGCCAATAAAAAGCTAGAGCTAATGGGCCAGGCAGTGATTTAAATAATACAGATTTTGTGTGGTTATTTTGGGGCTAAGTGGCCGAGAACTAACTAGCGGCCTCCTCCAACACAGCCCCCTCCAACACAGCTGGCATCCTCAGGTCCCCAATATAGTGCAGACATACCACAAATAACAAGGACAGGGAAATGCAAATTACACTCAGGGGATCAGCACAGGATGCCCTAACAAACTCCATCAGTATGTGCAAGTAAAACATGTTAATAAAAGGGAAAATCTAGTACAAACCACAGACTTGGGTGTTTTTTCTTTCTTGTTTACTTTCCCCATTATTTGAAACAAACATACTATAACTAAAATAATTTCTTTCATAGAAAGAAAAGAAAAGAAAAAAAGTCACGTTTGTCTAATTCCAGTGATGGTGGATATAGCAGCATTGGAAATAAAATTACAGCCCCAAATGCAAAGTTCCAGGCAGAAGACAGTCACCACGGTGCTGCTTCTGCTTCTCTTCCGTGCTCTTGGGGCACACTCCTATCAGGCCACATCCCCTCCCCTGCCTGGAGGTGGGGACAATTCACAGTGGCAGGGATTCGATTCAGGAAGTTCTTGTGGCAGATGGCCTGCAGTGTCTCACTTCCAGGCCAGACAGACGCAAGAGAAGCTTGGGGACAGGCTAGTGGCCAACAGACCTGGTGACCATTGCCTCAATAGCAGTCTCTGGGGATCAGTCCTGAACATGGGGTGCTCCAGGAGACACCTCGTCTCTGCAGTCCTAATGCCCCTGAAGTTCATACAACTCAAAGTGAAGTCAACATCTCTGAGCACCTTTGGGGCCTGGGTATCACTGACCAGATGAGCCGGGAAGGTTTCCTGGGAAGAGATCTGAGTGTAGGGTATCAGGGCAGAGACAGGCTATGATGGGAAGACGCCAGGCCTCCAGAACCTTCTTAGCAGCGCCCATCCCCGAAATACTCTCTCTACTCAGTGCTTGTCCACTTGAACTCTGGGAAACCGCAAATCTTCCTCTGGAGAGATCTGTTAAGGAGGGTAGGAACGCCCAGGCACAAGGGGTGCCTAGAAAGGGGTTCCCAGGTATGGAGATGGGATCTGGCATCACCCCTGAGTTCTCCATGGCTCATTCTGCCATTCTCATGGCTAGGCATAGATGAAGCAGGTGGATCCACACACAGGGACTGAAAAGGAGCCATGTGGTAGCTGAATTGCCAGCTCAGAGCCTAGGATTATTTGGGAACTCCTCCTTCCCTGGAGTTCTGCCCCATGAGTCCTCAGTGAAGCATAGCCTCACCCCAACGGAATGGGGTCTCCTTTCTTTCTTTGCGCTCAGAAGTTCCACCCACTCAAGGTGAAGTCCCGCCCCAACTGGATCCCCAAGCCCAGTAGGGCCCACCCTGAAGCACCCTCTCAATCTATTTAGAGCAGCAGCCTCTGGGAGGAGGGACCCCAATCCTCTCCGCCCATCCACGAACCCCACCTAATTGAGGGAGTTGCTCGCTTGTCCCGGTTTGAGCCATTGGGGTAGGACCGTCGTCCCAGATTGGAATTCCATCCCTAGGTAGAGCCCCTCCCAGGCAGGAGCTCTCTGTTAAAAAGGAACCCAGACCCCAAATAGGAGCCCCAGCTAAAGGTAGAAACCGGATCCGTAGGAAGGAGCCGTTCACAGGTAGGAGCCCTATCCTCAAGTAGGAACTAGATCCTCAGGTATGAGACCCCTCCAAGTAGGAACCCCGCCCCCAGGTAGGAACCCTGCCCCTAAGTATGAGCCCTGCTCCCTCCATTAGGAACCCTCCTACTTGCAGGTGTGCACGTCATAGACGCGTGTGCACTCCTGGCAGCTGACGTAGCAGCACCAGTGGAAAACACAGTGGCACTTCTCCCTCCGTCGCTCAGTGCGTGCGTTGTGTCCGCGCCCGCAGCACAGCAGGTCACATCCGTCTATGCCGTGCGAGCTCACGTTGCAGGTGCGGTCGCGCGTCCCGAAGGAGCCGGTTTCTGGGTTCGGCTCACAGAAGTTGGGGGAGGCCTCATAGTAGACCAGGTCGCGCTCTGTGGGCACCTTGAAGTACGTGTATCGCGGTCTCAGGGTCTCCACCCAGCCACGAGACTCGCGGTGCTTCTCCACCACCATCTCCGAGGCGCTGTCGTATTTGTCTTTGAGGAAATCCCCGACGGTGCGGAAGTCCGGCTGCGACCACCAGCAGGTCTTCACTTCGCAGCTGCCGGATAGTCCGTGGCATTTGCACTTGAGGTGCATGTGACTGGCGATGGCCTGAGGAGACAAGCACAAAATCTGTGTCTGCCTGGTGTAGCTCTACCAGGGGGTCTGCTTGCAGCCCACCGACTCCAGAAAGCCCCCGAGTCTCCTCTTTGTGGGCATTGCCTTTTCTATGGTGGCCTGGGTCTTCCCTGCAAGATCCAACGCCTCAGGGGCCCGGGAGCTTCCTTCTCCGTGTAGGCCCAGCTAATTCTCTTTCCAGGGGTGTTTAGGATAGAGTGCAGAAAGCTTCAAGTGGTCAGTGTGGGGGTGCTGGATGGAAGATGTGGAGAGCTGCCTAGAGCAGATGCTATGGCCTTGGTGTGAAGACTAGGAGTATGAAGTCGGGGTGCTTAGAGTGGTCCCTATATTCACAGGGACCTGGATGAACAGAAGCCTTCCGTATAGACAATGGAGACCTTACTGGCTGTTCTGGAACTCACTTTGTAGATCAAGCAGACCTTGAACTCACTGAGATCTGCCTGCCTCTGCCTCCCGAGTGCTAGGATTAAAAGTGTGTGCCACCACCGTTCGGCTCCACCTTGCTCCTTCCTGAGTGGAAGAAGTAGAGGTGCTTCAAGAAGGGAATTCCACCTCCCTTTCTTTAGGGAATGGGGTGGAGACAAGGGGGACATACAACCAACAGAACAGTCTCTAGTGGCCCTGTCCATTGTCCTCAGATTCCAAGCCCTCCCTACCACACACAGGGACTACTACTCCCTGTTTCTTTACTCCGGACTTCTAGCCTTCCCTCCCAGCCCTCGAACATCTGCTCTGGACACCTTCTTGCATCTTTCCTTTTACATTCCAAGAAACACTGTCTGTGCAAAACACACATAGTTTAAGGCTCAGTGAAAGAAAAGCATGCAGAATGTTGCATCCATAGTCAACATCCACTGCACTATTGAAAGAGCAAGCTGGCCATGGGGGTAGCCACTGCTTAGATCTTGTTGTGGTCCAGGTTCTCATGCTGGATGGATGCTTGGGCCCAAGTGTGGTGAGGCTAAGACTTGAAGAGGTCACTGGAAGGGAAGTGTATACCCTTGAGAGCCTAGAGCACAAAGTGACCACCACAGCAGACAAAGAGCTGCTTCAAACGATGGGTGGGAGATTTTGAATGTTCAAACAGAAAAAAAAAATTTCTTTTTCATTTTGAGACAGGTTCTCACAATGTGGTGCTGGCTGGTCTGGAACTCAGTACATAACCCAGGCTAGCCTTGAACTTGTGGCAATTCTGCCTGTGCCTCCAAGTGCTGGGATTGCAGATATGCGCCACCATGCCTGCCGAAATACTTTTTCAGGTGATAGGAATGCTTCCTACCCTCATCTGGTCATGATTTTTATATTCACATATTGAAAGGTCTCATTGTACCCTGTAAGTATGATCAATTGCAATGGCAGTTAGAATATTTTAATTTTGTTTTTATTTTTTCGAGACAGGGTTTCTTTTCTCTCCTTTATTTCTTTTTTTGTTTGTTTGTTTTTGTTTTGTTTTGTTTTGTTTTTGAGACAGGGTTTCTCTGTGTATCTTTGGAGTCTGTTCTGGAACTCGATTTGTAGACCAGGGTGGTCTCAAACTCCCAGATCTATCTGCCCCTGCCTCCAGAGTGCTGGGATTAAAGGCATGCACCACCACCAGTTAAAGTATTTTTTTCTTTTTTTTCCCAGTTAAAATACTTTAAGCGGAGACAGGAAACTGAGGCACAGACCATCTCCATGTATCCCTTGGCCCCTACCTTCCCTAGAGTGACAGTTCACCTGTCAGACCCCAGGAATCAAGAGTCTAGGGTCTGGAAAGTTCTCTCAAGCTCCATCATTCCCCTGTTTATTCTGTACGCACTCTTGATGGAAGGAAGGAAGGAGAGAGGGTTGTGATAGAAGAGGAAGACCTGCCCACCATGATGGCACATGACTGTAGGTGAATGCTAAGGCTGGAGGATGGAGAGTTGGAGGCCAGTCTGAGCTACACTGTAAGACTCTTTCAAAAGACTCGCAAGTGCATTTTAACTGGGCATTCTTTCAGTATACCTACCTGAGAGCTAACCTACCCAAGCAGCTCGGGCTGTGGTTTGCAAGGATTTGTATTGGAAAGCTTCGGCTTAAGGCTTCAATCACTCTGGGTTCAGACCTGCTTGCACCTCATCTAACTCTCAGCTGCTTCTTCACCTTCTTATGGAACTGGCCCACGGGCATGATAGAAAAACCCCATGCCTGGCTTGTCCGGCTTATCTAATACCACATCCTTCTCTTCCGCAGCCAGGCTTTCTGAGAGAGGCTCTTCCCGTTTCTCCTTCCTCAGTCTTCTCTTTTTTGTTTTACTTGGTCAATGAGCTCAACAGCAGCGGAGACCTGCTGGTGAAAGCAGGGATCCTGGCCGAAGCTCGTCTGCGTGGCATAATTCCTGACCATGCAAGGCAGTGCCTTGAAGTATGCAGGGCTGTCATCGCACTTGCTGCTTCTTGATTTTTGGATGGAAGGTGTTGTCTGTTGCTCTCTTAGCGTGAAGTGTTGAAATTTACCACTCTCACCTCTCCCTGCAGAGCCAAATCTTCCCTCTTTCCGCCCTAAAAACCGTAGGATGATCTCTCCCTTCAATACTCACTGCCAAGGGCACTGGCTGCGTAAGCAGGCTAAGGTGACACTTCCTTTCCCACACAGCACTCTGTTATGTGATTAACACACCCACCATGGGTCAGCCCTGTATTTTCTCACCGCCAAACATTCCCTTGTGATGTTCAAGCATCAGGACTGGAGATAAAACTCAGAGGGGAAAGCACTTGTCTAGCATGCTGGGCATGCAGCCTGGGTTTGATCCCTAGCGTCTCATAATTTGAATGTGGTGGTATAGGTCCATAGTCCCAGCACGTAAGAAGGGGACGCGGGAGTTTGGAAGATGGTCATTCTTTGCTATGTAAAGAATTCAAGCTCATCTTGAACTGATATCGAAAAGCAAACAAAAAGGGCCGGTGAGGTAGCTCAGTCTGGCAAGGTCTGGCCACTGAGCCAGTTGACCCATGTTCATCACAGAACATGGCTCCCTGCATGAGAAAACCGACTCCTGAAAGCTGTGCCCTAACTTCTACACACACATGCTGTGGAACATGCATCTACACACACACACACACACACACACACACACACACACTCACACACACATTGGAACATGCATCTACACAAATACACACTGGAACATGCATCTACACACATACACACTGTGTGACATGCATCTACCACACACACACACACACACACACACACACATACTGTGGAACATGCCTCTAACACACACACACACATACACAATGTAATAAAAACATTAAAACAAAAAGATATTTTACTTATTTCATCTTTAAGACATCTTTCTGCCGTCTAGTCAACTTTGTGAAATGGGACTGTCTGAAGACAAATCTTTTCTACTGTGCCTCCTTTCATAGTGCAGCTGGGAATGAAATTCTTGATTTAAGATCGCTTTGTCGCTCAGAATCCTGAAAGTGTTGTTCTATTCCCTTCTAGCTTCCAGTGACTTTTGGATGCCCCATCTTTTGCAGGAACAACAAGTATTCTCTTTGAAGATTGGAGGGTTGCTCTAGGTTACAGGCTCTGAATTTCGTAACATACCTTGGGGAAGGGGGCTTCTCCCACCCCTCCTTTTTTTTTGTTTTTTGAGCAGGGTAACAGGTGTCTTGTAGCTGGAGTTCCAGCCAGTTATGAGCCACCCTGTGTAGGTGCAAGAACCAAATGCTAATCCCCTAAAATGGTGGTTCTTAACCTTCCTGATGCTATGACCCTTTAATACAGTTCCTCGTGTTGTGGTGACCCCCAACCATAAAACTATTTTCATTGCTACTTCATAACTGTAATTTTGCTACTGCTATGAATTGTAATGTAAATATCTGGTATGCAATTGGCCTTAGGTGAGCCCTGTGAAAGGGTCACTCCACCCAAAGGAGTTGCAAACCTCTAGTTGAGAACAACTGCTCTAAAAAGTGCATCCAGGGCTTGTGAGCCTTGAGCTCACTTTACCCTTTTATCCCCATCCTTGAGCAAGGCCTGTGTGAGCTAAAACCTACATTCTAGGGAAGCTTCCTGCCTGTGTCTTTGCTAGCTTCCTCTTCATGTCCTCCCTTGTCTCTCATGAACATAATCCCCAAAACGTTTGATGAAATGTTTGTTCTTATAATACTTTTACATTATTATTATTATTATTACACTTTTGGTTTTCAAGAAAGTATTTCTCAGTATAACAGTCATAGCTGTCTTGGAACTCGCTTTGTAGATCAGGTTGGCCTTAAACTGACACAGACCCACCTGTCTCTGCCTCCCAAGTGCTGGGATTAAAAGGTGTGCGCCACTACCACCCAGCAGTTTTTTTTTAAAGCACTGAAGGCCACAGGCATTGTACTACATACCTTAAACCCCAGCACCCCAGAGCAGAAGCAAGCAAATCTCTGAGTTCAAGACCAGCCTGGTCTACAAAGTGAGTTTCAGCCGGGCGGTGGTGGCGCATGCCTTTAAGCCCAACACCCGGGAGGCAGAGGCAGGTGGATCTCTGTGAGTTCGAGGCCAGCCTGGTCTACAAAATCTAGTTCCAGGACAGGCTCCAAAGCTACAGAGAAACCATGTCTCAAAAAATTAAAAAAAAATGAGTTTCAGGACCCCCAGGACTACATAGAGAGACTCTGTCTAGAAAACAACCCCCCACCATTTATTCATTTATTATGTGCATATATAAATGCACACATGCACACCACAGGGTGTGGGAGTCAGAGGACATTTTCAGGAGGAGTTTGTTCTTCCTTCTACTTGATGGGTTGTGGAGATCAAACTCAGGCTGTCAGCCTTGGAGGCAAGTGTGTTTATCTGCCACACCATCTTGTAAGCGCCATAGTTTTAATTTCTAAGAGCTCTTCTTTCTCACTCCTCTTTAAAACTGACACATTGCTCCAATGTCACAGGACAGGGTTTGATCTCTCTGGAGATACCAATGGTTTTTGTGAAGTTTTCATTGTTTTTTTTTAACCCCTTATAGTGCCCACTTATGCAAATTCTGTTCGTTTTTACTTATTTATTTTATTTTATTTTATTTTTTGGTTTTTCAAGGCAAGGTTTCTCTGTAGCTTTTGAGGCTGTCCTGGAACGAGCTCTTGTAGATCAGGCTGGCCTCGAACTCACAGAGATCTGCCTGCCTCTGCCTCCCAAGTGCTGGGATTAAAGGTGTGCGGCATCATCCGGCCTCTGTCCTTTTTTAAATAAAAAAGAAGTTGTGGTTTTGTTTTCTGGGTTTTTTGTTGTTGTTACTGTTTTTTTTTTTTTTTGAGACAAGGTCTCACTATATAACCCAACCTGGCCTCAAACTCACAGTATAGCCCAGGCTTAAATGACCCTCTGGCCTCAACCATCCACGTGCTGGGACTGCTGGCCTAAATCATCACATCTAGTTAAACTCTTGGTTGTTTGTTTTACTGTGTGCTTTCTGAAAATTCTGTGTGTGTGTGTGTGTGTGTGTGTGTGTGTGTGGTTTTTTTTTGTGGTTTTCGGGGTGGGGAGAGGGAGTGGCGGCAGAGTCTCTATATGTAGTTTCCCACTGGCTTGGAACTCTCTAAGTAGTTCAGGCTGGCCTCAAACACACAGAGACCCACTCGCCTCTGCCTGCTAAGATTAAAGACCTGCACCACAGCTACCCCCATCACCTCCCGCTGCTTTCTGGAAATTCTTGCAGGTAGGAGGCAATTATCACCTTCAATACTCACTATAAAGTGACCCAGCTGCCATGCTTTAGGAACCCCCTCCCCACCATTCATTCTGAGAGAGCTGGGTTGCCCAGAGGAGAATATCCTATCCTTTGTCTGAAGGATAAGTGGATTGAGCTAGTGTTGAGTTTTAGGCAGAGATGGAAGGTCTGAGAGTCTGAGGTTCCTGATGTACAGAAGCAAATGTCACTGTGACAGCTTGTCCTCAGGCAAGCGTGGTGTCTCCAAATGTCTGCTATAGTGAAGGACAGGGGGTGCCTGGTGACAGGAGCTGGGCAGAGGAGCCATCAGTTAATGAAATGCTTGCTTGCTTGCTTGCTTGCTTTTGGAGACAGTATCTCATGTACAAGGCTGACCTCTGCTGAGTGTTGGGATTACAGGCCTGCCCCACCATACACACTTCAAAAAGCCTATGAAATACACTTTCAAGAAACATCTCTGTTTTCACTTCCATAGTCAGCTCCGCTTCTCAAGATGCCTGACGACAGACATCCCTGGGCGGTGCAAGGTCCCACTCCAGCTCCTGACTCATTCCTTGGCTCTGCTATACCACTGAGCACTTCCTGCCTATCTACCCTCGTTCTCTGGGATGGGAAGCTGGACTCTGGGTGTGAGGGACACTAAGCAGCTTTGAGGATGAGCTGCTGCAGTGAAATTTGTCTATGTAGGTAAGTTCAGACCTTCACTTTCCCCTGAAATCTCAACATCAGCTCCTGAAGGCCAGGGATACCCAGAGGAAGGTAAATAAAAGGCTATACCCAGGTATAGCCAAGAGGAAGGGACCTTCAAAATGCTCTGTCATCATGGTTTCCTGTTCTGTTCCACATTCTCATATTCTCATACTCTTTCTCCCTCCCACCATCTCAATAGCATGTATCATCTCTGCACTATAATTCTTTGTATCAGTTCAATCTATATCTACTATATCTATCCATCCATTCATGTGCTTCTCCCCTCTGTTTTCCCTTTCATGTCTTGTCCTTTTATGTGTGCAGAACCCTTGGACACTGCATGCTCTATGGCAGCCTCCCTCCATTTGTTTCCTTCTCAAGGACCCTAACTCCACAGGTGAGCTTGGGAACATACCAGACACTTGAGGTACAGTCGAGTAGTGTCACAATGTCCCTTGACAGAAGGAAAGCAGACCTGCAGCCTGGTCACCAAGAGCAGTCCCTCCTCCACCCTGTTCTGCCCCTCTTCATTGGGCACCCCAATGAAAAAGCAGCTCTTGCTTTGGAATCCCGGAGTTCTGCGTACATACCTGGCGCCCAGCCTCGTTGTTGTGGCGGTTCATGGCAGAGCGGGCATCTGGCCGGTTCTCCCTGGCATCGGCAAACTCCCGAGACACCATTCCACCAAACTCAATGTCCTCACTACAGCCGCCCCACTTCCAGCCCTCGCCTGGGGAGCCCTGGAGGCGGCTACTGCACCCACAGATGGCTGCTGAGCCCTCTGCACACGAGCGTGTCACCGCGAAGGCCACTCCAGCAGAGGCAATGGCATGGACAAAGGCTGACTCCCGGGTGGCTGCAAAGGAAGGAGATGGCAGTTAAGGAAGCCGGTGAGGAGGGCTGCATTCCAAAGGCAGGAATCCAAGAATCAGGACTGAGAACTCAGCACACACAGGATCTTACCATTGTGCTCCTAGGAGTCTTCTCTGAAGAATATTGGCCCTAATCCCATTTCCCAAGTGTTTTCCCTAAGTGCATTTGTATGTGTGTGTGTGTGTGTGTGTGTGTGTGTGTGTGTGCACGCGCGCATGCACACATGTTTTGTTAAGACAGGGTCTCACTGTAGAGCAATGGCTGGCCTGGGATGCTCTATGTAGACCAGACTGGCCTCAAACTCCAGAGATCTGCCTGCCTCTGCCTTCTAATTGTTGGGATTAAATGCATCATCATCAGGCCCAGTCCTAAGTTTTTTTCCCCAGTAGTTTCAGGTCTTACACTGAGTTGGTGTTTGTGTGTAGAAGACAGGAGTCTGGTTTCATTCTTCTATGTGTGGCTATTGATATCCAGTTTCCTAGCACCATTTATCAGAGGCTGTATGCTCTTTATACATGTTGCTGAGAAACAATGTGTGTAAATATGTGGATTTATTCCTTGAGGCGCTGCTATTGTGATCCATTGGCTCGTGTCTGCTCTATACCAGTGCTGTATGGCTTTGGTTATCACAGCTCTGCAATGAGACATTTTTAGTCATAAATAAGAATGAGATTTTGCTACTTGCACCAAAACTGACAAACCCAGAGAATGTTACATTAAGTGAATGAGCCAGGCACAGAAAGACAAGTGTAGAACCTAAAAGCATCATTTCATAGCAGGAAGTAGAATGGGTTAGCTAACAGAGACCCAGGATGGCAAGACAAGGTAGAGAGAGGCTAATCACTGGGTTTAAATTTCAGTTAAAGAGGAGGAAAAGGTTCTGGTAAGCTACTGAAGAGTAGTATGAGGAGAGTAGAAAACATTGTATTTTTTAAAAATTGCTTGAGTTGGGCGGTAGTGGCGCATGCCTTTAACCCCAGCACTTGGGAGGCAGAGGCAAGAGGATCTAAGAGAGTTTAAGGTCAGCCTAGTCTCCAAAGCAAGTTCCAGAATAGCCAGGACTGTTACACAGAGAAACCTTGTGTCAAAAAAGAAAAAAAAAAAAGCAATGCTTAAAAGGGCTTATGAACATTTTCAGTGAACGCGCTAAGAACTCCGACTGAATCATTTTTAATATAATCCTATACTGAAATATCACACAGCACCTTAAAATAAGTACAATTGTGTAATAGAAATAAATATGGGCTGGTAGAGTGCTTGCCTAGCATGCAGGGAGCCCTAGGTCCTTATCCTTAGTCTCACATAAGCTGGGCATAGTCATGCACTCTAATTCCAGCATCGGGGAGCGGGGAAGCAGGAGGATCAAAAATGCAAGGTCAGAGAGGCTAGCTTAGGCTACATGAGACTGCCTCGAAAATTAGATAAATGAAATATAATAATGTGCTACAGTGGGAAGAGAACCAGGTTGGCGTGCCAAAGGAGCCTGGGACCAAGACCCAGCCCTGCCTGTAATGAGATGGTGAAGACACGCAGGCCTATAATGGAATCCCAACGACTCCGGAGGTAGTGACCGACAAGCGACACTCAGGTTCATCCTTAGCTGCACACAGTTCAAGGCTAACCTGGGCTACAGGATACCCCGTCGCAGAACAAGATAAATCAGATCTTTAACACTATAAATAAACAAAATAAACAAAGGTAATAAAAGATTTTGAAACCTGCACTTAGAAGAGAGGCAGGAGGATTGCTCTGAGTTCAAGGCCAATCAGAACAGCTCTTCTGGGTTGTCAAGTTGACTATTGGAATTAACTAAAACTGAAGCTGCTGGGTACACCTGGGAGGGACTTTGGCTTATTTTGTTTTTCAAGTTAGGGTTCCTCTTTGTAGCCCTGTAGCCCTGGCTACCTGCCGTGGAATCAACTCAGAGATCTACCTGCATCTGCTTCCTGAGTGCTGGGATAAAAGCCATACATCACCACTGCCTGGCTTTTTTTTTCCTTTTAAAGATAGGGCCTCTCTTCCTACATAGCCCTAGCTACCCTGGAATGCATTGTGTAGACCAAGTTGTCCTAGAACACACAGAGATCCATCTGCCTCTGCCTCCTGAATGCTGGGATTAACTGTGTGCCACCACCACCTGGGATTTTTCTTTATTGTATCATTGAAGGTCAGAAAACACACCCAAATCTGGACTACACCTTCTGGTAGCAGCCTACATAAAGAACATGAAAGAAGGAAGCTTACTCTTTTGCCTGCTTGCCCTTCCTCTCGTTGGTAAGTTCATTCCTTCACTGGTATTAGAGCCTACTTCTCTGGTATTCCAGCATATACTGAAGACCGTTGAGACATCCAGCCTTATGAACCAGACAACTATTGGGTTCTTGGACTTTCTGTTGGAAGATAGTCATTGTACCAGCCAGACCACAGCCTATCAGCCACTACTAAATCCCATTCTAAAATACAGAGAGATCATTCTACCGCTTTGTTTTCTAGTGAATCCTTGGGTAACACACCAGAGTTCCAGAAGGACCCAGTCTAAAGCTCAGTACCACGTATCACGGCGCAAGGCAAATCAATAAGGAGCTATCTCATGCATACCCAGGAACAGCCGATAGCGAGAATTAGGAAGGCGCAGCGAAGGAAATGCAGCCTTGTGCAGGGGGCGGGTGGAAGGAACATCCATTAGGTGAGGGTCAGTTTGGTGATACAGGACTCACACTTATCAGAGGCTTCAGTTACCTGTAGCTTGTCGCAATTTGAAAGCATTGCATGAAACATTTGGGGGCCTAGAGAGAGAGCTAGCGGAAGGCTGCTTGTCTGTCTGAGTGGGGCACTAATTTCCATCCAGAGCACCACAGACACAAGAGATACACAAGGAAAATTCCAGAAATAATTGACTTTTTAAATTGCATATTTTGTTTTTTCAAGATAGGGTTTCTCTGTAGCTTTGGAGCGTGTCCTGGAACTCACTCTATAGACCAGGCTGGCCTTCAACTCACAGAGATCCGCCTGTCTTAAATTGCTTATTGTTGTGAACCATGTGGTGAAGTCTCATATTGTCCTGTGCTGTTCCTTCCTGAGACATACCTAACCCCTTGTGCAGAGTATCCATGTTACATGTATATAACTCACACTGTAGTCTCTCAGGGTGTCTGGGGATCAGATAGATAGTCACCAGTTCCAACATCACAATGCTCGTGACTAAGCCATTCTTGTTTTACCCAATGGTGGCTCTGAAATCAAGAGCGGTAAAACTGGCAATCTAGATATGCCCAAGAAAAACCAAGGAGTAAAAGAGAGTTCCCAATTTAGTAAAAGGAAAAAGAGACCACATGCGGAAGCTATAAAGACTGGCAAGAACTAATGTACCGGTGAAACTCAGAAGGTGGAGAAGGTGAGAAGAAACATTAGTTTTATCACCAAGCTACAAAAACAGGTAGACCGACAGCCCATAAAGAAAACTTATCAGTGAGAGAGACCATGTAATTCACCACAGATATGCTATAACTGTTCTGTTTGGATCGGCCATTAAAGCTTACTGTGTCTAACATAACATGAAGCTTTGCCACAGAACCTGTGTATACAGAAAAGACAACCTCCTAGACTTCAGCATCATCCCTGACTGCAGGTCTAGACCAAGGGCCTCAGAGTGAGTGGGCAAAGCACAAGGGTGGATCTTGAAATGATCAATTAGATCATATTGACTAAAAAAGACAGAAAACAACAAAAAAAAATCAGAGGTGAATAGTATTCCACTTTTTACATATGCACAAAAATTTCATTATCCTTTCATCTGTTGATAGGCAACTACGTTAATTACAATTATTTGCTATAGATTAAGCAGCAACAAACATTTGGCGTGCAAATATCCTTATGGCTGTGTTTGAAATTGTCTGGATATAGGTCCGTCAGGTCACATGGTAGTTCTACTTTTGAGAATCCTGAAACTGATTTCTATGTAATAATGACTGTATTAACTCGCACCTCCCCCAGCGGTGAACAGGAGCTCCTTACGGGAGAAGGTGCCCTCTCCTCTACTTGATACACCAGATAAGGAGGGCCTGCTGCATGATGAACCTGGTGTTCTGAGCAGGAAGGACGTGCCTCTGACAGGTTGACTAGCAGAGATTTTACAAACCTCTCTAGAAACCATTCCAGACTGAAAGCCCCACAGGCCTGTAGGGGGAGCTATACACAGGCTCTCTTGGGCTGGGGACCCTCTAGTAGGAGTGGGGTGGTGTCACTGAGCTCCTGCTTAGAAGTTCCCAATCACCTCTTGGGATTATGAGACTTTACAGAGAGTTGTGGTCTTCGCAATGCCTCCTCCACACATAAAGAGCTGTCCCTCTGGGCAACAAGCAGGCAACTACTACTTCCCATGCTTCCATAAGTCATAGGTAAGAAGTTAAACTCATGGGACTCTGTGTGTTTCAAAGGCAGGGACAGAGGAACTATGAACAACTACACACATTCAGATTTGCCCACACATTAAGCATACATCCACACACAGAGAACAAAGAATGCACATTCGCTTTCATATGAAGAACACATTGTGAGCTATGGTTACCTCTAGCTGGCTGGCAAAGACCTCATGGAGCTGATGGCCCTCCCTATGGATAAGCACTTCTCCCTGGATGGCCTTCTGGAGACTCCAGCCACTCTGTCCCCAACTGGGGTACTGCCAGAGCCTAGACAGCTACGGTTACCATCTAGGAGCCCAGCCTCTTCCCACTACTTCCCACTTCTTGGCTGGCCAGAAACAGTCACTCTGGACACCAGAAGATGAGCACAGGGTCCATCTCCGACCAGCACCACAGAGAAGTTCCTCGTTGGATTGAAGCCACCCCGCCTTCAGTTGCCTCCGCTGCCAGGCACACAGCTGCCCAGCTCTGAGCCCAGCACCAGTGCCATACATGGCCCTCCTAAAGTTATGTGAAGCTTACTTGCTGCTGGCCTTGCTTTCGTCTTCTCAGCCACTCACTG